GAGCAGCTCCCGCAGCAGCTGCAGCATGTGAACGGTGGACGAGGCCGGCATCGTCATGCAGAGACCTGGAGCCTGAGCACGCGCAGGGTGCATGCGGCAGGAGAACACTCTTTCACAACCAAAGCAAAGGAAGCCCAAAGTGCTGTTCTGCGCTAAAAAAAAACAAGGGCGCTAAAAAAAAAAAAGTGCCTTCTAAAACAGTAGTTGCCCGCACTCTTTCTCACTGGCAACTGACCTCCAAAAGGGAGAGCCTGGCCTTTCCCAGACCTGACTTTGCATTAGACTTCAAACCGGCCCTCTCTTGCCACCCACTCTTGCATTTTTAATGCAGCTGGTGCCGCTAATGGACTCGTGGAGGACAGCTTTATTTTTCCTTCACTCAAGCTGCAGCCCTGTCTGTGGGCCTGCCTCAGAGTGGAAAAGAAGCAGCGGGCCATTGCTCATTTCCCCGATCATTCTCCTGACCTCAGGATTTGCGTGTGTGTGTGTGTGTGTGTGTGTGTGTGTGTGTGTGGGTGTGTGGTTGTGTGTGTGTGTGTGTGTGTGGGTGTGTGGTTGTGTGTGTGTGTGTGTGTGTGGGTGTGTGGTTGTGTGTGTGTGTGTGTGTGTGGGTGTGTGGTTGTGTGTGTGTGTGTGTGTGTGGGTGTGTGGTTGTGTGTGTGTGTGTGTGTGTGGGTGTGTGGTTGTGTGTGTGTGTGTGTGTGTGGGTGTGTGGTTGTGTGTGTGTGTGTGTGTGTGGGTGTGTGGTTGTGTGTGTGTGTGTGTGTGTGTGTGTGTGTGTGTGTGTGTGCCTCAGCATGCTTGCCTTACAGCCCATCAGGATAAAAACCGAAGGGTGCCAAGCGATAGGTACCGACTCGATCTTGGGCTCACATCATTCCCAACATGCATTACAACCCCATCCTTGCGAATTTCACCTCAGATGCTAAGAGTCACAAACCAGCTCATCTTCATTGCTGCCTTGCCTGGCAGATCCCCTCAATGCTAACCGCTACTCTTCCCAATTTACTCACTTGGCAAAGTTTCCACGACTCCTCCTCCGCCACAGCTTCCACAACTTCTCTCTGGGCTGGTGAAGGTAGACTTGTGCACACTCCAGAGATCTGGGCAAAGCTGAGAGGTTTTCAGACAGCTAAAGCACTCAACAACTAGGTGTGGTCCAGCGACCAATTACAACCTCCGTGTGGTTTCCGAGCTCCCAGAGAGCTGCGCACAGGCAATCCTAGGCCAGGCGGGGCATTGGCAACCCTGCCCGCCCTCGGTCTGTGTCACCTCCAGAGTCTACAGGATGAGGCATCAGCAGTTTTCAAGGCTCCTGACTGAAATGGGCTTAACAAGCGGTACACCAGGGGGGTATTTCAAGCCCCTTCTTGTCTTGTTTGTCTAAACACTCCAGATGGGCCATACTTCCAATACATCTAAAACGGAAAGCAGCCTTGACAAGAGTCTGGGACCTGGCAGAACCAGTGAACATTCACTACCGTCTTACTCCGATGTCTTAACAAAGGCAAGTGTGAGCATGCACAAGTGTATGTGAGAACCATAGATGATAGCCCCAGAGCGCATGATCCTGATTTACAAAGTTTAGCAGTTTGCAAACTCATTACCCAGGCACCTTCCCAGTGTAGCTATAGAAGTAAGGCAACAAAAGAACCCAGCTGGGAATGGAAAGAACACTTTCCTGTCCCTGATGTAACAACAAAGGGAAAGCAAGCACAAATATACAAGCTCATTCTTCTGCTTATACTAGATTATGAAGACTATTTTTTGACCTTCGGAAAAGCAGGCAGTGTGGACGTCAACTCTTTTATAACATCATCATCCAGAAGCAAATGGCCCCTTAATTTAATCAGGATCTCTTATTATCAAATCATTGCCTCGGTGAAGCCTGCTCGAAAACAGGGGCAGGACATCAACACGCAGCTCAGGAAGCCAGTAAGTAGTAATTGCTCCCCGAGAGGACTGGACATTTGAAGGGCTCCCATGTCCTGCCTCATCACAAGATGGGAAGGAGGGCTAAGATGTATACTGTCACCCAGACCAGAGTGACAGATGAAATGGCCAAGTGTTCAGAATAGGGCTCTCTTCCCCCCTCACCCTTACTCTTCAAATGGATGCCTCAAAGCAGTTATGTGGCTTATACTCTGCTGAATCTACAAACCTGCCAAATTGAGGGTATTTTATAGCAATGGAATAACTAAAGCTAAGACATACTACATGGGGGCTGAATATATAAAGAACTACAACATGGAGTAAAATCACATTAATCCAATTTATAAATGAGAAATTTTGTGAAATTTCAGACACCCTCTGTCATCATATAACTAAATATAACAGATAATAAAGTACCATGGACATCCTCGAGACAATTCTCTAAATATTTGCATTCCTGTGCTTTGCTTTTTGTTCTGTTTTGGTTTGGTTTTTTGAGACCTTTGGAACCTGTCCCGGAACTCACTCTGTAGACCAGGCTGGTCTTGAACTCACTGAGATCCACCTGCCTTTACCTCCAAAGCGCTGAGATTAAAGGCGTGCGCCACCACTGATCAACTACTTCGCTATCTTTTATCACAGCCCCACCTCCCCTTTGCTTCAGATACTTAGTTCATTTCGCTGTTTAAAATATTTTGGGCATGTAATTGCTAGCACTTGACAGTCTGAGGCAGGAGGGCTGAATTAAAGGCCAGCCTGGGCTACAGAAGTTGTTTGCTTGCATTTAACTTCTCAGAACACAAACATTTCCTCTTAGGGTCAAGCTACTGGGGTCTTTTTCTTTTTCTCCACGTGGTTCTGAGGATTAAACCCACCTGCTAAAAGAACCCCCCCCCAACACACACTTTTTTTTTTTTTTGAGACAAGATCTAAATATACAGCCCAGCTGGCATTGAACTCTCAGTCTTTCTGCCTCAGCCTGCTGATGCTCACAGTGAAGGTGTGCCCCCATGTCCATCTTCTCCCTAGCCTTTACGTACAACTGAGAACAAGGCAGACCAGCACACAATGATCCATCACAAGCCGGTTCTAGTGCAAGCAGAGCAGGAATGGAACAGAGTTCATATGAAGCCTTACTAGATCTTAAGGGATGTCCCATTTCAATCTCCCTCCCTGGGCCTTTTCTCTCCTGCTCTACAATCAATCCAGTTAATGTGCTTGCTTTTAGGGTTCAAGGCAACAGAAGATTTGTACATTAACTGTGCCTATGTAGATGTCTTTAATCAGGATGGCGGCCGAAGCACAATGGTTTGTCTAACCAACTAAACGAAAGTGCAGACATGGTGTAAACAGTTCACCCACTCTCAGAGTATGATTTCCATTCCCACACCCTTTCTCAGTTAGAGCACATTTTTAAGAGGCAAAGGCAGCTTTGAGTGCTAAACAAACTCACACCAAAGGGCATAAGATACGATTAGCACCATTTCTCTTTGCACAAATGATGCGAGTGTATGCTTATTAAAAAGTCTTCTGCTCAGTACAGTTTTGGAGCTGACCTTGCTATACTCTGAGCAAGTAAATATAGACACAGAAACAAATGCAGACAAATAAGATAACAGCTGGGCAACTGATCCATGGACAAACACCCCAGTGGAGGAGACTCAACCAGAATTGAACTGAATCCTGGGAGTGCAAGGCATTGAGGACAAGGTGGATTGTGTTCCCTGGCAGCTGACAAGCCACTGCTGGCTCAAAGGTAAAACCAACTCCCTGGGAGAACAAGAGACTGAAAGAGAATCTTTTAAGCCAAGAATGTTTTCCCATTTGGGAATTAGTCCCCACCCCCACACCACCACTCCAAATACTGAACATCAAGGCTAAATTAATTCCATGAAAAACAATCATTATCTTTGCCAGCTTTTATTCCTGTTTTTTTTTTAAGTATGCAATTTCTTTCACATATAAAGTGCAATGTATTGTTCTTAATTCTACATGAAGTAATTAACCATAGAAACCACACCTGGGATAGGACCTGGGCAATGCTGAGACAGGCTAATTTTTCTGAAAATCTGAGTGATGACAGAAAAGCCATCAACTGGGTCCCATGCTGGGCGCCCTTAACTCCCCTGGATACCTAGAAAGGAGGCAGGTGGAAACACATATGAACTCCCAGCTTCAGCGACACGCTCTCAGCAGTGGTTAACTCCCTACAGCAGTGGTGGCACCTGTCACTGCTGGGCTGAGACTAAGGCTGACCACAGTGGCTGCGGTCACCAGGCCAGGGACTGATCGGCTGAGTATTTTCAAGCAAAAGGAATGTGTGAACTTGAATACAGCCTGAGTACTAGAGAGTTGAATATGGCAGTTACCATGGTGACAGAGTGGCATGAAGAAACTTAAGAGCTATCACTGCTTATAGGATCAGTTGGATGCTGGGGCCACAATGGACATGGAAGAAAACTGAAGCCCCAGCAGCAACATCTACACTGGTGTGTCTTGGAGTTACCGTGCAGTCACAAGTGCCTCTGGATGGCTAACTTCCAGAAGCTGCCCAGTAATCAGCTCCATCTTCACCAGAGTCCTTCACAGGCAGAGAACCTGCATAGCTGCAGCTAAATCAGAGAGGGCAGAAACTTCGATACATCAAGAAGCTTCTCCAAGCTTCTCGATTTTTTCAGAAGGAAACAAAACTTGCCTTAGGAATCAAACTAGAAGAGACTGGAGGCACAAATGTGCTCTTATCTGCAGGAAAGAGCAGGCACTCAGACAATGCTGGCTTAGTCCTCAACACAAAACACGATCCTGGGCAGGGTATGTCTTCTAGAAAACACTGTGGATTAGTGGCCCAACTTGCCACTTCTTTTTTCATATTTACCCCAGGCTCTGCTTGTTAGTTACATTTGTGTGGCTGTTGAGGGTTCCCACTCACATTCTTAACTATTTCCAGAAACTACTAATCAAGACTGTAAGCTTACAAATTCCAAATCAGAGTCTCCTTATTTTGGGAAGGGAGGCTTCTGTCTGAAACTCACTATGCAGTCCAGGCTGGCCTCAAGTTTGCAGCAATCCTGCCTCTGTCTCTCTCTTAAGTGGGGGGTTATAGGCATGCGCCACCACACCCAGCTCAATGTCTCTTTACCCAAGCCGATCCTCCTTTCTTTAGGATCCGAAACAGAGAGGAGCAGGAGGGAGGATGCAGCAGCGACAAGAGCCTATAGCTGGGCTTTGCATCCTTCCAGTGACTTCACAGAGACAACTTATTCTGTGCTGACTGGTCCAGTCTCCTCTCAACACCCTAGAAAGGCTTTTCCATGAGAGCCTCTACCCAGCTGCTTCCATTCATCAGTTTAGTGGTTGCAATTACATACTCAGTGCCTCCATCTTCCAACTGGGAGAGAAAGCGCAGGGCAGCAATTTCAGCAAAGGTGACACCTCCGAGGAAAAATATCAGCGTGACTCTGTTTTCTCCTGGTTGGCCTAAAATGTAAACATTTCACAATTCAAAAATATCTATTACTGTTGCCTCTTGAAATAGTCCCCCCCCCCATTTAAAAGTCTATAAACGGGCTGGAGAGATGATGGCTCAGCAGTTAAGAATGTGTATTGGGGGCTGGAGAGATGGCTCAGAGATTAGGAGCTCTGGCTGCTCTTCCAGAGGTCCTGAGTTCAATTCCCAGCAACCACATGGTGGCTCACAACCATCCATTATGAGATCTGGTTCCCTCTTCTGGTGTGCAGATATACATGGAAGCAGAATGTTGTATACATAATAAATAAACCTTTTTTAAAAAAAGAATGTGTATTGTTCTTGCAGAAAAGAGTTTAGTCTTCCAGCCCCCACATCAGACAGCTTGAAACTGCCTGTAACTGTGTGCACACTGGTGTGTGTGCGTGTGTGCTCACGAGAGCGCTCCTAGAGAGGTCAGAGCCATCTCCTGAAGCTACAGTTACAGCCAGAGCTGTATATATTTAAAAACCACGAAGTATAAAAAGGTCAAGTGCATCTTGGCACAGCCAGTTCACTTGAGACCCTGAAATGCCTATTTTGACCTTAACACCGAGTCCTGGGGGCACAAACAGCTCCAAGGCTTCCAATGTACATTAGCAGCTGACTGCACTGACTCTTAGAAACTTTACAAATGTCTTTTACAAAGCAACTGCACAACACGAGCCACGTGAGCAGCACAGACTGTGGATGGGAGATAACTCACGTTTCTTCTGCAGCCCGGTGGGCAGTGACTGCCGTTCTTCAAAGTGGGGCCCTGGGAGAATTCGGAGAACTTCCTCGATGCTCCGCCAGCCTGGCCGGGAAAGGAGTTGAGCAAGTCGCACACTGAGTGGCGCATAACCACTGTACACATAGGATATGTCTGTGGGGTTCTGTCAACAGTTAAAGAAAAATACAGAGACTGAAAGCTACCCGCAGTTTTTTGGTAACTGAAGTTATTTGATTGGGAGGCAGAAACTCAAAATAGCCCTTGTGTGTGTCGTACTCCAACCCCCTTGGATGGGCTTCATGCTTAGCACTCATGGCTTTACAGTTTCCTTTTTTAAAAATTTATTTTTACTTATGTGGATAGCATGTATCTGTGTGTGAGTTTGTGACTGTAAGTGTGCAGGCACCTGCAGGGTCCAAAAGGTGCTGGAGTTACAGGAGCTTGTGAAGCACATGATAGTGGTGCTGGGAACTGTACTTGGGTCCTCTGGAAGAGTAGCAAATGCTCTTAACCTCTAAGCCATCTCTCCTGCCTGACTTCACTTTTTTCATTTTTTTTTTTTTTTTTTGGTTTTTCGAGACAGGGTTTCTCTGTGGCTTTGGAGGCTGTCCTGGAACTAGCTCTTGTAGACCAGGCTGGTTTCGAACTCACAGAGATCCACCTGCCTCTGCCTCCCGAGTGCTGGGATTAAAGGCGTGCGCCACCACCACCCGACTTTTTCATTTGTTTGAGACAGGATATAACTGCGTAGGCCAGGCCAGTCCCAAACTTACGATCCTCCTGCCTCAGCTTCTGGAATGCTGGGATCACAGATATGCACTTGGGAGACTGAGACTAGAGGATCAAGGAGTACGAGGTCACTTGCTATATAGGGGTTAGAGGCTAGCCCGGATTACAAGGAGAGTGGGGGGGGGGGGGAGAGCCAGGCGGTTATCAGATTCACTTCCTAGTGTGAGTCTTCCCCCATGCACTCCCTTGCATGTTTAGCGTGTGTGAGAGCTGGGTTTAATTTCTAAAACCAACAATAAAACAAACATAAAGCCCTCACTAAGTAGCATTCAAAAGAATTGGAATGGGGCACCAGGAAGGCTCTTAGAGCCCTTGCTAGGCAGCAGGTGGGTTTGAGGGGCAGAAGGTCAGAAAAGCAGTGAACTAACACTGTCTGTGTGATAGAACACAAACTTGGCAGCATCACACTATGAAGAATGTAAAGCCAGGAGAATCTTTGCAGACCAAGAGCACAGAACGTGTAGTGACATTTCTATATGTCTAGATGCCACCTGGCCACAAGGGTGGCGGCCTCTGTGAGGCACATTTTAGCCGTGGCAGGAGCTGCTTCCTTCCCTTCCTTGTGCACAGCTTACGGGCTCACACACAAGGGACGTTTCTGTGAACTACTCTCCCTGGTGTCCCCCGCACCTCTCCCCAGGGCCCTGCACCCAGAAGCCTGTAGGTGTTGTGCCCACACTCCCATGACTTCTGTTTGTGCCACGGAACACCTGGAGAGTGGACAACAGCCTGTGGCCTGGCCTGAACATTTTGCCCTACTTACTGGTCTGTGACACACATGGAGGTCAGAAACCCTCAGTCACACAATTCTCTCTGATTCCCATGACAAATTTCTCTAATAACTCCTGTTACCTGTCCTCCGGGCCTCAGCTGGGGTTATGGATGCTAATTGCAGAACAGGTTTCTAAGCATGACTGATTATTACATTAGGTGCCATTCCCGTGGGAAGGGCTCCTTGACTAATAAGTGTGAAGAGAGTGATGTGAGCACCAGAAAGCGCAGGTGCCTTCACACCTCTCTGTCCCAATTGGATGTGATATGCCTGGCTCCCCCAAACTCCTGCTGCTGTGATTCTCCAGCTATGATTGTCTGTAGCCTGGAACTGCAGGTGACAACAGCTGGTGAGAGTTCCACGCATGCTCACTAAATAGGTAAACGTAGAGAGATGCCTAGACATCGGAGCAGATGTACAGATTACGGTGTGTCCCCTGTCACAGTGAACTACTAGAATCAAGCACAGGAACAGTATCTTACCTGTTCATTGACATCATCCATCCAGAGCCGTAATGTTTTCCGAATCGTTGGGTAATTGTTTCTGCCCCCTGTCTGAGCCTTTAGCAGGCCAGCCTTCTCAAGGTTGTTCAAGGTCAGTATGTGTTCATAGCCATAGGTCTGAAGGAGAAAGCATTTGGCAGTGATTTTAGGTCAGGCAAAGGGCTTCTGCAGATTTCCAAAGAGGAGCACTCCAACAAATCAATGTGGTTTGTACCCCAGGGCTCATTAGCAAGGTCAGAACTGTGTGTGGTGAGTGCAGGGGACAGGGCAGAGGGCGCTTTCACTGAGATGCTCAGACTCTTGCCCACCCATATTAACCCTGCTCTTCGTCTCATGGATGATTTAAAGTGATCGTTTATGACCTAACTTGAGAATTAAAAGAAATTAAATAATTAAATCTATATACAGTATACACTTAGCTCTCAAAAACAGTATCTGCACACTAGTGAGTCCTCTAGACACACTTAAGAACAAAAATAGTAGTAAAATATTGCACACAGAATTGTATTTCTGGTTTTTAAGAGATAAGTAATGGCTAACCCTATGGAACACCTGCGATGCTTCACAATCCTCACGTCAGCAACCTGTAGACTGCTGCATCCAGCCATGCTAACCCTGAAGCAATACTGTCTCCAAGCCTGTGTATAAACATCCTGCGTGCAAAGAAGAAACAGGAGCAGGAAGGAAGCAAACCAGACTGTTGGCCTGCATTCATCTGAGGAGAGGAAGGGAACTGAAGTGGGGCTGGGGAACTGTCAGTTTGCTCCACATACTCCTCCATTACTAGAATCCCATCAGAGTTTCTGTCATTTGTGTAACTAAAGAAAGAGGAAAACAAAACCCATAAAAACTAACAATATATTGAGCACTGACTGGTAATAGCAAATAAATACTGCCTGAGACATTCAAATGGGAGAATTGTTTTTTTCAGACAGGGTCACACTGCACAGAGGCCTGGTTGGCCTCTGTCTCCCAAGTGCATGTGTACGACATGCTGCCAGGCTATGAGAAACATTTTTTTTTTTTTTAAATAGCAGTGAGTGTTCCCCTCCTATAAAGTCTAACAAGCTAAGCCTGTTAAGGAATGACCAGAAATTTGTTCCATACATGGGCCGTAGACACACACATACATGCAAATCAAAGAATGTAATAAAATTTTTTTTTTACAGAGGCTAGCAAGATGCCTTATCAGGTGAAGATGCCTGCTGTCAACCCTGATGGCCTGAGTACGATCGCTGGGTCCATAGGTGGAATGAAAGAGCTAACTACTAAAAGTCGTCCTCTGTTCTCCACAGGCATGCCCTGGCATACATGCATGCATATGCACATGGGCAAACACACATAAACATGCTATATAATTAAATACATAAACATAATTTTAAAATGTAGATTAAAAAGATAGTGGTAATAGTCAGGGCTTGTGGGAAGGCTCAGAGGGAGAAGCACCTGCTACCCTGCCTGGCAGGGTAGCACACATGGTGTGCTCACACCATGTGTGCTACCTGTGTGTAGCACACACAGGTGAGCCACATGGAGGTGGAAGGAACAGACTCTGAAGTTGTCCCGACAACCCCCGCCCCCCCACCATGGCATGCACACACGCAGTAATAAACAACAGGTTCTAAAAAACACAACAAGATCTTGTTCACACTACACTAAACAGTTACATTATTAAAAGACACTTCCCTTCTCAGCAAAAAAAACATCTTTAGCTTACTACCTGGAGAATTTCCCTTTTGTAGTAGTCCAGAACCTTCTGCTTGAGCCCACTATTGCACACAGACTGAAGGCAAACCAGTCTCAACACCTTGATGAGCGGATGCTTCTGGGCAATACAGTCCTCGATATAATTGTTGACCTAGGAATGAAGTATAAACAGACTGACTATTCCAAGGACCTAAAATAACTTGGTATCTTCTCTATTCACCTAAGGCAGTGGTTCTCAATCTGTGGGACAAGACCCCTTTGGGGTCAAATGACCTTTTCACAGGGGTCACCTCGGACCAATTACATATCAGATATTTACATCTCAATCCATAACAGTATTGAGATTACAGTTATGAAGTAGCAATGAAATGTTGTGGTTGGGGTCATCACAGCATGAGGAAGGTGGAGAGGATATGTGATGGGGAAGGGCTGTTTCCTTACTTCCTGACACCTGCTGAAGGTATCTTCCCCTCATCCCTATGCCCCCAACCTGATGGCCACCGTACAAACACACCAGTATGAGGCCATGAGAACATCACTGGGCAATCAAATCGCCTGCTCAGACACATCTACTTCATGGACAACCAGCTTAGTGGCTGCCAAATGTTAGGTTTATATAACTTGGTCTACCTAAAAAAAAAAAAAAAAAAAAAAAAAAAAAAAAAAAAAAATTTAAAATAGCAGGAAGTGACAGGAATACTTTTAAAAAATAGGAACTTTTGCAAATTGAACAATTAATTATTTTATTAGTGATGGATAATTAAAGAAATTACATAACAAAATTTTTTTAAAAAGTTAACCTGGGTTGTTTGTTGTTGTTGTTTTGAGATAGGGTCTCCTGTAACCCAGAGTGGCCTCAAACTTGCTACGTAGTCAAAGCTGGCCTTAAATCTTCCATCTCTCAAGAGCTAGCATTACAGGTATGTGTGTATGCATGCATACGAGTTGTTGTTATTTGCTTTAGGACGAGTATTGGGTCTGAACCCAAGATTTCTAGGCATGTTAGACAGGTACTGACCTATTAATGACCTACACCAAAAGGCAAATACAATTTTTTATTACACACACACACACACACACACACACACACACACACACAGAGAGAGAGAGAGAGAGAGAGAGAGAGAGAGAGAGAGAGAATGCACAAATGCAACCAAATCAATGGTTGAGGGACAGGTTGCCTGATGCTTCAGACCTTCAGTCTGAGCACTCAGAAGGCAGAGGTAAGAGGATCTCTGAGTTGCAGGCTAGACTGGTCTACATATTAAATTCCAGTCCAGCCAGGGCTACTTGGTGAGTTTAGGTCTCAAACAATAACAACACAGACAACACCACAATGGCGGACCGCTTAGGTGATGGACTTTAGCTCTGGGGGAGAACAGGTTCCCACATACCTTATCAGTGTCTATCCCAGACATGAACTCCTGCTCCACTGTTAACTTATCAAAGAAGTCTTCAGACGCTAAAATGTAATCAGAAAATTTTTGACTTAGAAATTCCAGTGTCAGCTGGTTTGAGTGCTATGCTTCTGGTCATAAGCAGGATTAGCAAACAAGGCACACTAAACCAAAAAGGTGGAGACTTGGAGCAACCAGGAAACCAAAGCGCTGAGTGGTACTCAACGCTCACTGCTCCTTCAAGGTCCTTTGCTTCAGATGCCACTGGGCAGGAGTCTCAGTGTCAGTGAGCACTCATGTCCCCAGGACAAGCCTCCTGTCATCTGACTCTGACCTTTGTCACCAGCAGACAAAGGACTACTTTTCCAACCCTGAACTAAGATTCAAAGCATATTTGTTAACACTTGGTCCTGAACAAACACCATTCAGTGCTCAACACATGCCTCAGCTTCTACTTCAGTCAGATGGACTTGAGTCAGGATTTAATACATATCTCATGAGGCTCTTTGTGACAATTCTGTAGGAAGTTTTTGTTTTGTTTTGTTTTTTAAGACAGGGTTTCTCTGTGTAGCCCTGGCTGTCCTGGAACTCACTCTGCAGATCAGGCTGGCCTTGAAAACAGAAGTCTGCCTGCCTCTTGACTGCTGGGATTAAATGCATGTGCACTGGCTTAGTTAGTTTTTTGAGGGAAGGTTTAGTGTAGCCCAGGCTGGTCCTGAACTCATTATGAACTGAAAATGACCCTGAGCTTGGGATCCTCCTGCCTGCAACAGCCCCAGTGCTGATGTTACAGCACACGCCACCAGGGTGGGTAAGTACACTACTGACCGAGCTACATTCCCAGGCTCTTTTCTTTCTTGTCTACGAGTCTCACAATGTGCTCAAGCTGTCCTTGAATGTATTGTCTTCCTGTCTCAGCCTTCCAAGTGCTAGGATTACGGGTACCCTGCTCAGGGGACCAAAGCTAGAGTCCCAGCACCACCCCAGGACAGCATACTGTTCTAATTAAATAATCCTTCACATAGGAAAACATAAGGAAAACATGAACTGCTTCATATCATTACTGGGGCAATCTTCTGGATGAATGCTTTTTTCTTATCCATATTTCAGGTACTTTAACTCATGATTAATAAATCATTTTTTAGAGATTTTTTGTGTGCGCCTGGGTGTGTCTGTGCATGGGTATGTGCATATGAGTGCAGGTACCCTCAGAGGTCAGTGGGATCCCTGGAAGGAGTTATAGGCAGCTGTGAGCCACCAGCTGGGGTGCTGGGACCTGAACCGGGGCCCACTACCTTAAAAAGTCATACACTTACTTCTCCTGTGACATATGCGTGACGCTAAAATGGAACTGACTGCGGGTGGCTCAGTGGTCAGGCACTTGCTTCACACTGCTTCACACCAACAAGCCCTGCTTTGAACCCTAGCACTAAGATAATAAAACAAATAGATCAAACACAGCGAGCCTTCCCAAGGAAGGACCAAGGTGCTGACGATCAGGGTGTTGGATGATGTATACACAAGCCAGTCCCAGGTGGGAAGAGCCACAACAAAGGGTACTTACTGGTGACATCTTTGATTAATTCTGCAATTGAGGTGTGGTTGGCGAGGGAGCCCCTGGCGGCCTGCATGTGGGGCAGCTGGGAAACGAACTGCTTAATCTCCCCCACTGTCTTGGCGTTGTGCCTCTCCTGCAACAGAACACAACAGGCGGCAGCGCCATGAGGCAGGAGAGCATCCCAGAGGGTGTTCCGTCAGTATCATCACGAAAGGGAAAATGCAAAGCAAGTTAAACCCAGCTCTGAAGTCACAGATAAGGTAAGCACAGTGGCATGGTGCAGCTCCCTCCCAGGACACACACACACACACACACACACACACACACACACACAAGTGCTACACAAAAGGGAGCCACAAACAGCAGAAGACGTCTAGGTCAGGCAAGCCAGAGCAGACTTATAACCCCAGCACTCGGAAGACAGAAGGATCAGAAGTTTAAGGTCATCTTTAGCCATGGGACCATTTCAAAAACCAAAAGCAAACAGCAAAAAATTTTCTATTTAACAGAAACAAATCCCACCTGGCATTAGATCTCAACAGTGAATGCAGCCCATGAATACAGTGAACCTCGACTATTGACAAGAACGGTTTGTTTATTTATTTATTTATTTATTTATTTATTTATTTATTTATTTATATTTTAGGTGCATTGGGGTTTTGCCATGGGTGTTGGGTCCCCTGGAACTGGAGTTACAGACAGTTATGAGCCACCATGTGGTTGCTGGGAATTGAACCCTGATCCTCTGGAAAAGCAGTCAGTGCTCTTAACCTCTGAGTCATCTCTCCAGCCCCAATAAGAATGTTTTAATAACATCATCCAAAACAATCTACAGGAATATGGAGCTAATCCACAGGTAGAATCCCTAAGAAAGGTAACACCAGGAACACAACAACAAAAGCAAAAAGCAGTTTTCAAGAACTCTCCCTGTTTCTGTCTCTAGAGTCTAAACAGACATTTCGTAAGTCTACTGAATCCCCACATTTCAAAACCAGCTCAACAAGAACAAACTGGTTAAAGACCAGGGGAGGCAGGAGGTGGTAATGAAGCTGTGGGCGGCTGGGGATTTTGATCTCATTATCATTATCGCACATGTGGGCTTCCCGGCCACTGCCATGCTGGCCAGACCTCAAGTGCTCCCCTGGAGCTGCACACTCCATGTCCATGTCGAGTACAGCTGGCATTCTCTAGGGAGGAGGAGAGGGTAGAAGAGAAGGTCATGGGAACTCATTTAGGAAAACGTCAACACCCATGCTCTCACATTTCCTAAAAGAACAGGAACCTTTAATACAGGACTGCTGTTACAGGTCTGAGGAAAAGTTTTAAAATGATGAAAGCCTAGGCTGGCGATGCAGCTCCAGGGTACAGCACTGTCCAGCATCATCAAGGCCCTGGGTTTAATCCCTAGTACTAGAAAAGTAAATAAATAAATAAATTTTTAAAGAAAGAAACCCTTAGGTCCTCTTGAATATGCAGGTATTAGAATGAGACAGATGTACTATAGTACAGCTTCTTTTGAAAAAAGATTTATTTTTAATTATGTGTACTTGTGTGTGTGTGTCTATGTGTGGGTGTGTCCATGTAAGGCCGAAAGGGGGCCTTAGATGCTCTGGAATTTGAGCCACTCAGTGTGAGTGCTGGGAATTAAACTCTGCAAGAACAGCACTCTCCATTGCTGAGCCATCTCTCCAGCCCTAGCCCAGCTCCTAAAGTGTGGGTCACAGTCCATACAAGACTGTGTAAATGAACATGGGGGTCACAAAAAGTTAATTTCTGAACATGCATTGTCCACAAATGAACTGAAACACGTTTCTGGCAGTGCTTACTGAAGCCTTGGCCATGAACACAACATGGAGCCTTTGAGGGTATGGGTCCTCATACCATTCCAGCCTCAAATGCTGCCCAAACACCGAGACTCAGACTCAGCACTACTTCATACTATGAACTGCAGTGTCTTCACCATATGAAAGATATTTGCTCTTATAGAAATATAATGGTTTAATTACAAAATCTCACTATTTTCCTTTAAGAGTTCTGGGCCAGGGCTACATAGTGAGACAAAAAAAAAAGAAAAAAAAAAAAACCAAAAAATTCGGGCTGGAGAGATGGCTCAGTGGTTAAGAGCACTGCTTGTTCTTCCAAAGGTCCTGAGTTCAATTCCCAGCAACCACATGGTGGCTCACAACCATCTGTAATGAGATCTGGTACCCTCCTCTGGCCTGCAGGCAACATGCAGACAGAACACTGTGCACATAATAAATAAATAAAAATCTTAAAAAAAAAATTCACAATTTTGAAAATGCTTAGCTGAGCATGCCTTTAATCCCAGCACTAGGGAGGTAGAGAAAGGCGGATCTCTGTGAGTTTGAGTCCAGCCTGGTCTACAGAGCGAGTTCCAGATAGCCAGGGCTACACACACACAAAAAAAACTCTGTCTTGAACTCCCCCCACAAAAAATGAAAAAAACAAAAACAAAAGCCAACAACAAAAAAAGTGAATACCTCCTGAGAAACATTACTTGAGGGTGGGCTGGTCTCTGGCTTCCATATGCACAGGTTGGCAAACACACACATACACACATGCTCTCTCTCTCTCTCTCTCTCTCTCTCTCTCTCTCTCTCTCTCTCTCTCACACACACACACAGAATCACACTGTGCATTTTTTCTATTACCTACACACAATGGAGAGATCTATTAATTTCAATGATTTCTTTTTTTCTTCCTCCCCCCCCCCTTTTTTTTTAAGAAAGGGTTTCACTTGTAGCCTGCATGCTGCCTCTTCCTATCAAGTGCTGAGATTAAAGTGGTGATCGATCCTGCCCGGTTCCAACTATTTCTGAAATGGCCCTAAACACACGGCTGCCATTCTTTACTGTATATTATATAGGAAGGGGCAGTCTCAGCACTCATAATTATAAAATCAAAGTATCAATCCATTTTGTGTGTGTGTGTGTATGTGTGTGTGTGTGTGAGTGAGAGAGAGAGAGAGAGAGAGAGAGGGAGAGAGACCCAGAGAGAGAGACAGGGCTTCTCTGTGTATTAGCCCTGGCTGTCCTAGAACTCCTTTTGTAGACCAGGCTGGCCTTGAACTCACAGAGATCCGCCTGCATCTACCTCCCAAGTGCTGCGATTAAAGGCATGTGCCACCACCACCCAGCCAATCCACTCTTAAAACCACTGACGATGCCCTATGTCCTGAGAATCAAATATTCAGCCAACATCCAATGTTTTACATAAAAGTAAGCAAAGCACGGGCACCTCCCTAACAAGCAAATTTGCTTTTGTCTTTAATAGTTGGTAAAATTATGAACCCGTCAAATAAATTTCCGTATGCTTTGTTAGTTTGGTGTGTACCTGTCTTACAGACCTAAACATCTCAGGCAAATAATAGTCTGAGCTGCAAACACTTCTGCTGTGACCAGGCCCACTGTTCCCTCCTCTCACTCCCAGGAGGCAGGTGGCAGTCAGGGCTTGTCTCACCTCAAAGGCTGCGGAGATAATCTTCGCTTTCTTGCTGAGCACAGAGCCCACAGCATTGAAGTTCTTGTCTCGGATCTCAGCGTAAAGCTCCTCCGCAGAGTTCAGCTGAAGCTTCTTCGCCTCTGTGGGAAGGTCCTCCCCGCCGCTGCCACCCTGCTTCTTGGGTGCAAATTTCTCTGGTGGTAACTTCACATAACCTGAAGTTGGATGGAACACGCCTTTAATCCCAGCACTCAGGAGGCAGATCTCTGTGAGTTCGAGGCCAGCCTGGTCTACAGAGCGAGTACCAGGACAGGCTACAAAGCTACATAGAAAAACCCTGTCTTGAAAAACCAGGAAAAAAAAAAAATCCTACATTATGGAATCTGAGGACAGAAGGTTCTGACCGACAATAAAAGGTTCTATACACAGGTGCTTTGACTGAATGTAAAATGATACAAATGCCCAACATTAGGTGAGTGACTTCACAAACCTGCAAACACTGTAGATTGCAATATTACATCCCAAAGTGCTAAGAGAATATTCATCATTATACCAGGTCAAAAGAAGTTTAAAGCCAGCCAGGTGGCTCAGTGGATGACCTGAGTTCAATCCTTGTAACTCAGGTGGTGGAAACAGAGAACCAACGATATAATTGTTCTCTGTCCCTCACATATGAAATTTAAGATGATTTGTATAATTTGATCCCTTTTCACTCTAAAATAAATTCTGCAAAGAAAGACATCCAACATAATTTCTCACATTTGAAACACTAACAGAATCAAATATGTTGGCCAACACTAACCAAACAAAACATGCTGTGACCTCTGGCCTAATCACTCATTAAGCCCAAACTCTAGCTGGTCTTCCAAGACTTCCACCTAGTGACCCAACCTCCCAAGCAGTTACTGAGGATTTCACCATCTGCGCACGACAACTCCCGGCAAGCTGGCTGCCCCGACTCCCAGCATTTACCACACTGCTTGCTCCTCTTCTGAACCTCCATATAAACTTTACTCCTCCTTCCAAACCCAGAAGCTCTCCTATTCTCCACCATCCACACAGGGCTAGCCTCGACTCACGAGCAGGCACAACCAGGGCAAGGAACATCTGGTCAGCCTGTGAGTCAGCGGTGTGCTCAGATGTCTAGCCTTAGGCTCACAAGACTAGTCAGCACTTTTTCCAGTTGTGCTCTGCCTTCTATGCAAAAGGAACTTTCTGAATAACCTGTGGACAGAGTAGGTGGACCATTTATAGCCTTAGGCTGAGTACCATGGTGACTGTCTACAGCCTAAGGCTGAGTATGGTGATGACTGTCCATAGCCTAAGGTTGAGTACAGTGGTGACCATCTATACCTTAGGCTGAGTACCAAGGTGACTGTCTGTCTATAGCTTAAGGCCGAGTATGGTGGTGACTGGTCTACAGCCTAAACTCCCAGCACTAAGGAGCTTAACCAGAAGACCAGAGCTCAAGGCCAGTCTGGGTTACAGAATGAGACTTTCTCTCAAAAATATAAAAATCAGAGGGCCGGTGAGAGGACTCAGTGACTAAAGGTGATTGTCACCAAGCCCAATGACCCGAGTTCAATCCCCAGTACCCACGTGGTAGAGTGAGAACCACACACACAATACACAAATACATGTAGAAAAAGGTTTAAATAAAGTATGACTAGAATATACACATATATGAAACTGCCAAGGAACAGATTAAGAATATTTTTAAAACATTCTTTTTTTATTCTTATTTTACGTTCTTGGTGCTTTGCCTGTATATATGTCTGTATGACGGTGTCAGAAGCCCTGTAAATGGAGCTACAGACAGACATGAGTTGCCATGTGGGTTCTGGGAATTGAACTCAGGACCTCTGGAAGAGCAGTCAGGGCTCTTAACCTCTGAGCTGTCTCTCCAGCCCCAAAGAATATTTAGTTTCAGTTTTTGGGAGGCAGAGATAGAGATACCTATGAGTTCCAGGCCAGCCTGGGTCATATAGTAAGACTAGGGCTCAAAATAAACAAATAAGAGTAAGATACTGAGCCCTGTGGAAGCCCTCTCTTCCCTTTCACTACTTCCCTGTTCTGTGTGTTCTTATTTGGTGATTTGTTCACTGTACGTCAATGACACAGAAACAAATACGAGCACAGTTTATAATGGGAATAAATAGGCTGTACAGTTTCTCATGGTCTACATTTGTGACTTTCGTGGCTCTGCAATGTTGTTATCATTTTCTCAACTACTTAGAACAGCCTGGAAAATAAACGGCAATGCAAAGTTCCACACAAATCTCCCTCAAGTTTTCTGGGATGATTATTACTCAAGTGACTTACATTCTCAGGATCTTTGCAGGCCAAGAACTAATAGCATTTTTTGTTTGTTTGTTTGCTTGTTTGTTTGAGACAGGGTTTCCCTGTGTAGCCCTGGCTGTCCTGGAATTTGCTCTGTAGATCAGGCTGGCCTCAAACTCAGAGATTCATCTGTCTCTGCCTCCCAAGGGCTAGAACTAAAGATGTGTACCACTACCACCCAGCTCAAGAATTAACAGCTCAGGAGGCAGAGGCAGGTGGATCTCTGTGAGTTCAAAGCCAGCATGGTCTACAGAGCAACTGCCAGGATAGGCTCCAAAGCTACACAGAGAAACCCTGTCTCGAAAAAACCAAAAAAAAAAAAAAAAAAAAAAAAGAAAGAAAATGAATCTTTATTTGTGATAATTCACACCCTAGTGTAATCATAACACTAGGGAGGCAAAGACTAGCCTGGACTACACAGTAAACTCCATGTAAGCTTGGGCTATACTCTGTTTCAAGACACAAGGTGGGGATGGGGATTAGAACCATGGAACTTTGCATTCAAACAATGCTTAAGAACAAACCATAGAGCATCAGCTCTGCATGGGGGAGGGGGGAGCACGCCTTCTATCCCATTAATGACCAGCGAAAGCTGATGTCACTTCACATACTATTCTGAATGCCGTAAATCTCATCAATGAGTCCTTCGTATGTCAGCTGGGTGGCAAGCGGCGTTAGTAGATCCACATTGCGATCCAGCAGCAGGAGGTTATCGAACACGGGAAACACTGAGTTTTGGCTTCCTGTAAACTCCCTCTTCATCCTGACCATCATGTTGGCCACTTGCTGGAAACAAAACACGGGATCAAATGAAGCCTCCTGGGAACTAGCAGAGTTTAAGATTCTGCTACAAACAAAACAAAAATCAAAAGGTTAAAAAAAAGAGAGAGGCTGGGCGTTGGTGGTGCACGCCTTTAGTCCCAGCACTTGGGAGGCGGAGGCAGGCAGGTCTCTGTGAGTTCCAGGCCAGCCTGGTCTACACAGTATCAGACCCAGTGACACTGGCCACATGAAAAAGTTATATTCTAGTCTCTGGAAACAGTGAGATAAGCAGCTGCTGTTCAGAGAGAAACAAGGGGAGCTATGAGCCTCTGGTCATAGCTTTTTTTTTTTTTTTGGTTTAGTTATTTTTAGGGCATGAGAGCTGACTCAGTGTTTAAGAACACTTACTGGTCTTGCAGAGAACTTGGGTTCAGTTCCCAGCCCCCACCTTTGGTGGCTCACTCACTACCATGTGTAACTCCAGTTACAAAGAATCCATCCGGACACCCTCTGGCCTTCGTGGGTGCCTGCATAAACACACAAGATCCACCTACATCCGGCTCCATATGAAGTAAAGTAAATTTAAAGATGATTTAGTTATTTTTACTTTTGGTTATATTTGTGTCTGGGTGTGACTTTTTGCATACGAGTACAGCGCCCACATTGATCATAAGAGAACATCGGGACCATCGGATCCCCTGAATCTGGAAGTACAGGTGACTATTACCTGATGTGGTGCTGAGAACCGAACTGGGTCCTCTAGAAGAGCAGGAAGTACTCTTCACCACTGAGCCATCTTTCCAGACTCTGGTCATGTTTTTGTCAAGAGATCAATACTAAACATTGTGTCACCTGTGTGTTTGGTCACCTGATGATATGAGTCATTCATACAGGACAGAAGGCCAAGAGCTGTGACTCTGGCCCAGATGGACCTTATCTGATGTATGACATTCACTGTAAGTCACACTACACACCTCACACCATGCTTAGGAAGCATTTAAACAGCAAAACCACCCAACAAGTGAAAACTCGTGAGAAGCCTGAGATGACACTTGTCACCTTGGTCACCTGTGTTAACATGTCCAGTGGGTGCGTACTGACTAGAGAGTGATGTATGAACTGCAGGAAGGAGACGAAGTCCTTAACACGGAATGCAAGAGTGACAAGGGTTGGCTGTGTCTCTAGAGTTTCCCTTTGACCACTATTCTGGATAAAACAGAGGGTTCTCACCCGAGCGCACTCTCCTTTCCCAAAGATGTGGGGGATGGTCCCATACAGTGCCTGCAGGGTCATCAGCCCCTTGGCTGCATGGTACAGGCTAGTCTGGTCGCCATCCAAGTAGCACTCCTGTGGAGACAAAGACCAGTTACTGTGGGCCATCCACTTACAAGTCAACAATGGTGGTTGGGAGTGGTGGTACAGAAGAATGAGCAGGGCCACAGGAGTCGCAGGCCACCCTGGGCTACATGAGACCCCATTCAAAATAAGCAAAAGATAAAAATGAAAAACATGAAGTGAAAAAAAAAAAAAAAAAAAAACAGAATGGTTCTTTTGTAGCCCAGCTTGGTGGCACCTAGCTTTAATCCCAGGAGTCAGGAACAGAGGCAAGAAGATCGCTGAGTTCAAAGCCAGCCTGTTCTACAGAGCGTTCCAAGTCACCAAAGGACATACAGTGAGACCTTGTCCCATAAAACATAAAACAAAACAAAACAAAAAATGGTATCTTTTGTCCCAAGGCCCCCACTGTTAACTACCTCAGAGTCTCTTCAGTACTCACAGCCAGAAGTAAGAATAAGACCCAGGGGCTGAGGAAGGGACAGTGGAGTTCTGACCAGAAGAGGGGGGCTGTCCCAACAAAGACATCACAGGAGTCTGTGCTTCCTTCATTCACACTGAAAGCCTTGTCTGTGACTCCTCTAGCTGCTGCTTTTTACCTTCCCCCAGCACAACAGCCCAGGACAAGAATGCCATGAGACCACATGTTCTGAACACTAAAGTGAGAGAATATGACAATCCATGTTTCATTTCATCTTAAAAAGTCTTATTACTTGGGGCGCTGGTGGCTCATACCTTTAATCCCAGCACTGGGAGGCAGAGGCAGGCAGATCTCTGTGAGTTCAAGGGCAGCATGGTCTACAGAGCGAGTTCCAGGACAGCCTCCAAAGCCACAGAGAAACCCTGTCTCAAAAAAAAAAAAACCAAACAAACAAACAAATAAAAAAAAAAACAAACAAAAAGTTGTATGACTACAAAGACTCTCCTTTTATAATGCTATCTTAAAAAGAAAAAAGACTTCCAAACTGATGACAGGGTTTTTGTTTTGGTTTGGACAAAGTTTTTCTGTGAAGTCCTGGCTGTACTCACTCTGTTCACTCTGTTTACCAGGCTGACTTCCAACTCAGAGATCCAACTGCCTCTGCCTCTGAGTGCTGGGATTAAAAGAGTGAGCCATCTAACCTGGCACTGCATAGTTTTTTCCCTTATTTTTGGTAGTTCTGGGAATCAAACCCAGGCCCTCAAGCACATGGTTCCACTTCTGAGCTACACTCCAGTAACAACAGATTTAACTCTGAATGATGATCATATTGGCTCTCACTGGAAACAACACTAATCACTGCGGCCCTCATCTACCAGAACAGTCAGCGAGGGAGTGCTATGCGTAAACAGGCCACTCCTCACATAGGGAACCCCACGTGGCATTTCAAGCTACAAGGACATTTTAGGATGGATGCTACTACACATTAATATTTAAAATCTCATATTTTGGGCACCAAACTTACTCACCCACACAACAGAAGCCCTGTAGTTTTTTACTAGGCTGACTTTAGATATATCGGTTTCTAGTTACTAAAATGAAGGCGCTAACACTGCATGCTGGCACTGAACATTCAGTGGGGTGAGCACCAACTCAGATTTTATACACTACACATCTCTCCAGAAGCTCGGGAACACCAAGCTGTGCTGAACTATTTAGAAACATGTGAACTCCATCACAACTGGAGCTGGCACAAACTTCAGTCCTAAAACCCAGGGAACGCACAGAAAGAATATTGTGTGTGCTAGGAGTGAGGGCCGAAGAAAAGCCTGTCTGAAAAAAAACTTAAAAGAATTCTTGAAACCACTAAAGCAAAAGAATGAGAGGTGAGCTCAGTACAGCTTCTGCAAAGATGTCTGAGACCCAGGGGAAAATGACCTCCTCATCACTCTCTACTTTAACTAGAAAAAAAAAAAAAAAAAAAAAAAAAAAAAAAAAAAAAAATTTGGGGGGGGTGTGTGACTTGTGTTTACAAATGGAGGTGGGGTGGGTGCAGGGTTGAGACAGGGTCTCACTATTTGGTCCTGGCTAACCTGAAGCTCTGTATACAGATCAGGCAAGGAGATCCACCTGCATCTGTCTGTTGGGATTAATGGTGTGTGTTACCATGCCCAGTTATTTACAAAACTTTCAAATTACTGCTTTAACTATTGGGGTTTTTGTTTTGTTTGTTTTGAAGACTCCCTATTGTGGGCAAGCTGGCCTCAGCCTCTCAATCCTTCTGTCTCAGATTTCCAGGTGCTTGGATTGTAGGTGTTTAATTGAAGACTTTAAAGGGATGAATTTGGGGCTGGAGAGGTGGCTCAGAGGTTAAGAGCAGTGACTGCCCTCCCAGAGGTCCTGAGTTCAATTCCCAGCAACCACATGGTGGCTCACAAACCATCTGTAATGAGATCTGGTACCCTCTTCTGACTTGCAGGAATAGATGCAGGCAGAACACTGTATACATAATAAGTAAATAAATCTTAAAAAAAAAAAAAAGGTGTTTGTTAAAAATCCTTCAAAATAACTTTACAGCATGTGGATGAAGATAAAGCTGAAGTATTATATAAAGAATTCCCAGGGCTGGAGAGATGGCTCAGAGGTTAAGAGCACCGACTGCTCTTCCAGAGGTCCTGAGTTCAATTCCCAGCAACCACATGGTGGCTCACAACCATCCGTTACGGGATCTGGTGCCCTCTTCTGGTGTGCAGATATACATGGAAGCAGAATGTTGTATATACATAATAAATAAATAAAATCTTTAAAAAGAAAAAAAAAAAACAATTCCCAGCCGGGTGTGGTGGCCCACGCCTTTCCTTCCAGCACTTGGAAGGCAGAGTCAGGAGGATCTCGGTGAGTTTGAGGCCAGCCTGGTCTACAGAGTGAGTTCCAGGATAGCCAGGGCTACAAAAAGAAACCCTGTCTCAGAAAACAAAACAAAATTCCTGAAAAACAAAAAAAGGGAGCTAGCCAGGTATAGATATACACATCTGTAATCCCAGCTCTTAGGAAGTGGAAGCAGAAAGATCAGGAGTTCAAGGTTAGCCTGAGCTACACGAGACCTTGTCCTAAAATAGCAAAATAGATTTGAGTCAAATGCATTGTATCCATGAATGAACATTAAACAAAATATCAAAAACAAACAAAAGTAACAATGGAAGCCAGTAGGTCCATAATCTGAGTGTTTAGAAGGCTGAGGAGAAGGATGACAAGTAAGGCAATCACAGATTACAGGGCCAGGCCACCTTTTAAAAAATGCATTGGAGGCTGGGACTGGAGCTGTCTGGAGAAGGCTTAGTGATTAAGAGCTCTTGCTGTTTAAGCTTAAATACTTGGGCTCAGATCCCCACACATGTGTATAAATGACTGAACAGGCACTTGTATAACCCCAGGGCTGTGGGCACAGATGTCTGAACCTACTGGCCGCCTGTCTCAATTCTAGTCCAGGGAGAGACCCTGACTCAAGGGAGTAAAATGGAGAGTGACAGTACAGGATGTCCTCTTCTGCTCGCATGCGCACGTGCTCGCACACACACACACACACACACACACACACACACACACACACACACACCTAAATACACAGAAAAAGGAAGAGAATGAGAAGAAGAAGAAATAGGCAGAAAAATGAGCAGGCAATTTGCCAGAGAGAACATCCTGGACACCAGTAAACAGATGAAATGGGCCTCGCCACAGATGCAAATAGAAGTGGCAGCATGACATTTTCAGTAATAAGCACATCAAAAATGGAAGTCATGGCCAGTCATGGTGGTGCTCGACTTTAAGCCCAGCACTCAGGAGGCAGAAGCAGGCCGCAAAATCTTGGTGAGTTCAAGGCTAGCGAGGGCAACACAGTGAAACCCTGCCTTTACAGAATATAAATGTTTGATGCTAAGGAAATGTCAACCTTACTTTGAATGCACCCTCTGATTCCATGGATAAGAGGTCCCCATCAAATGGAATGAGATCCAAACTGTATTCCTCTCGATGAATAAAGGATCCCAAAACACCCAGGTCCTTCAAGCGTTGCTCACACAGCAAGCTCCGGCGTGGCACAAACAAAATATGAAAATCCCTGGTAGGGCCACGCCTGTCTTCACTGCAAGGGAAGTAACCATTATTAGCTTATGTGCTCTGTAGAGTCACAAGTTTTCTTATTTTGTCCCCATTGCCTGGCAGATGCTAAACACTGCTTAAGTAAACACATAAGGATAGACTCTTCAAGGGTCTGGAGAGGTTAAGAGCACTTGCTCTTCCAGAGGACACCAGTTTGGTTCCCAGCACCCACATGGCAACTCACAACTATCTACAATTCCAGTTCCAAGGTATCCAGTGCCCTCCTCTGGCCTCCATAGACACCAGGCTCAGTACATGTGCAGTCAAATATTCAAACACATAAAATAAAAAATAAGTAATTTTTTTTGAAAAACACATGCTAGACTCTCATACCCCAATTGTTAATCAAACTTTGATTCCAGCACACACATCACATGACTCACAAGTGCCTGTAACTCCAGCTCCATCGGATCCAACATCCTCTTCTGGCCTATACAACTCTCTCTCTCTCTCTCTCTCTCTCTCTCTCTCTCTCTCTCTCTCTCTCTCTCTCTCTCTCTCTCTCTCTCTCTCTCTCTCTCTCTCTCTCTCTCTCTCTCTCTCTCTCTCTCTCTCTCTCTCTCTCTCTCACACACACACACACACACAGAGACAGAGACAGAGACAGAGACAGAGAGACAGAGAGAAAACTAAAAACCCAAGATCTCACAACAGGATGTCTGTGATTTGTTGAAAATAAATGCTTCTTTGAGGAAATCAGTTTAACACAACAGTCTTCTATCACAGTGAGAGCTACCTTCTGACTCCTGCTTTCAATTCTCCTTTTTTGTGGACTTCCAAAATTAGCCCATATACAGCCACAGTTTTCAGGGGCTGCAGCAATCAAAGGCACCACAGAGCACTGACTGTGCCGAGAACTTCCTCTGTAGGTTGGAGTCAATATTAAGCTTTAATCAGCTCTTACTTATTTTGCTGATGAAATTAAAGCACACTACATCTGGCATTTTGAGAAAAAAAAAAAAAAGACCGTTAGAGGTTTTTGTTGCTGTGTTTTTTAAGGCAGAGTTCTCTCTGCCCATGCAGGCTTGAACTTTTAGCTAACCTGAGGGAAGTTATTTCCCTCAAGCTACTCAGAGCACTCTCACAAGCCTCCTCCCTTCCCTAAATTTCTTCCACATCTAGTCCCACTCTCCCAAAAGATGGCCTTCCAACTCTGGCAAGAGGGTGCCACAAGGCCAAGGTACTCAGAACACTAAAGCCACTATAAAAACAACTTCTAGGCAGGAAAAGTTCAACAGGGGAAAGCACCTACTGCTAACCTTGATGACCCAAGTCCAATCCCTGGGACCTCTGTGGAAGAAGAGAACCCATTCCCACCAGTCATCTTCTGACCTCCACACAAATACCATGACACACACACACACACACACACACACACACACACACACACA